GACAAATAACAATAAGTGGCTTCAGCAAATTACCAAAACTGACATGTTTATGTTCAAGTGACAAAGGCCTCTAGCATTATCAGTCATCGTAATTATGACTCTTGTCATAATCTCTTACAAACTAAAAATTCAGAAAATTGAATGAATGAATTACCTATCATTTAGTAGTTTTGACTCATCAGGAATCAAAACCAAGTCCAGATCAGTCATTGGTACCTATGCCTAAAACAACATTAAGCAATGTATTTCCAGTTGTCTTTTTTTCTAATCTGTCTGAAGTGTGACCTCAATTTTTCATTCATATCTCGGTGCATCATTACTATGGGACCAAACATGCAAGCATGAAAGCAATGTAAGCGTGTAACTTCACTGTATTGAACTTTATTATTATCAATAACTCTATTAACAACTGCTGATGTGGGTTTAATATGAACACGTTTATATTTTTATTTTGTCCAAATATATAAAAACCATTCTATAATCTGAAAGTGAAAATGCAGTCTTAAATCAAAACCTTTTTATACAATAAGCTCCATTTGTAGAGGAAAATGTGCCATTTAGGCTTTGAACATGACGCATGTTATACTGAAAGCAGTAATCAAACGGTGTTCTTTAGTGTAATTGTGGTTGAAATACAGTCAGATATCATAGAAGATCTTAATATGTCAAGAATACAATGCCATGAATTGTTTTTTTCCCACAGCTCCCAATGCAGACGCTACTTTCTAAAGACATTTTTTGTCTGAAAACAACACTTATTTTTAACTACTAACCTAGTTTATCTGTTCATAAAGCACACCCACTGTGTTTCATCAGCTCATGAAAGAAGAATCTACAGTATGTAAATAGTATTGCTTAGATCAACTTTCAGCCTTTTCGTAATACCATCACACTTTACTGTCTATTGTGACACATTATAGTCATTTAATAGAAAGTTAAGTAGTCAACTATAAAATGTCACATAATTTTACTAAAACCATACTGTACCATTAGTTGTGTAATTGGCATATATTTAGGCTGCAAGTACATTTTATCTGAATAGACCGATTATTGTCTACATAAGATCAAGGCCTGTATTTGTTTATACATGTATAAAATGCTTATCCTTGTTCTTGAAGTCCTCTGAGGATTTAAGATAATACATTATAGGTATAATGTAAATGACTTAACATCCAGATATAATCGTGGCTTTTGAAAGTGCTATATTTATTGATAACAGCTGCATAGTATGTCAAGCTGCTAGAAATTGTGTCTGACAGTGTTTTCATAGCAAAGAGACTACCTTGTGATACAGTTGACAACTTTGCACTGTAGCTGCTGCTTCACAGCTCTGAATCCTTTTGGTCCCAACAAATGGCTGGTGATAAGCATAAAACATTGATATTATTGTACTGTATGATTTTCAGGCTCTTACTCCAGTGCACTGTGGGCCAGACCATTCAATCATGATTTAACTCCACTGAAAAGCAATATGAAAAATAGCTGGCAGTTCAGGCAACTGGTCTTGATGAAGGTCACTCTCTGACTTAAACGCAAAAAGCAGACAAAATGTGTGGGAGTAGACAGCTTTGTTGTTAAAGCTAACTCCATTTTGAAGAACGTGATCGTCTTCTGCCTTTATATGAATTAAATGAAAGCATAATGTTAATGTACTGACTTACTAAATGTCTTTTGTAAACATAAGTGGATCTTTCAATCTCAATATTTTTTTTAATCAACTTTTTTTCCCCACCCCTACTTGTTAAGACACCGTTAATTATGTATATTACAATTGCAGCTCCAGTGATTTGAGTATTGTATTTTTTAAAATTACAATTTTGATATAACATTGTTCAGCTCTACCAATATAAATAATATCTCTTTTAATTAGCTGATTGTATTAGTGGTAGTATTGTATTTGCCAAATCTGATGGCTTTGCAGCCATTGTGCAACCAGTTTGTTCACACCTCTGTAGTTATTTTCACCAAGTAGGAGATATTGTAGCTGTTAGAAATTCCAAATAACTCCTACTCAAGACGACCTGAACTGTATTTCCCATTCAACTGCTCACATTTACATTCAGTACAATATGATGTGAAACTGGCATTAATCTCAGCAATAAACTCCCAGAAGAGCTGCATCCAAATTCAACCTATCAGAAGTCTAATCAGCCAGAGTAAATGATGACACCTGTCTGGGTTTGCAGGGGCTTTTAAAGTTTGGAATTTCCAGCCGCAAAACCTTTAGGACCAAAGTGATAGAGACAGTCAACTGTATCCTGCTGAGCTCTTCACAATACCTCACTGAGTCCTAGCCACAGCAGGGTAACTGTGTTGTGTTGGCTTTTGTTTTTCCACATTGCCATCCACAGGGACTGCTGGTGCTGCAAAGGGCCATAATGAAAAGCACACCCAGCTGTGCCGGCCAGCAAGATGGCACTTTCATCAAACTAAACAAGGCTTACACCAGATTCTCAATTATTAAACGTCTGAAATAAGCGCAGTGTAGACCCCCACCGTCCCCAACAAACTACTGTAGACAGCCATCAGTGATGTTGAAAAGACAAGATTGTTTATGAGCTGATGAGATTTAGATTACCGTTATGTTGAGAGAGACAATACACTGACGCTGATTGCTCCAGAAATACTTGCAGTGTTGAGAGAGACTCAGAACAACGCTTTTGTTTTGTAGCAAACTGCAGTCAAGCTGTGTACTGGTGCCAAATGTATGACTAACACAGCAGGGACAGGACTGTACATACCACTGCCTAATCCTGGGTCTATCAACCTTTTCCGGGCCTATTTTTAGGTCCCAAAATGAATCTTAATGTGCATTTGTTTATGTTACATACTATCTTATGTACTATCTTATGTATATTTTAGAACACATGTAATGTATTTTTTTCTTTAAAAAATTTTCAACATTCTACAAAGCTGCTAACTTGGATGCTACAGACTAATATGGAATGTAAACAATAACAATATATTGGTATTCTGCCATAAAAGTTTTTACTTTGTAGGATTGTGGAGCAGAATTTGATAACTTTGTGAACTCAAAGAGGCACAAAATTAACTGCTCTGATATTCTTCTCTACAGTGACATTGATTCGATCAAAGCTTCTGCCTCCTGTCAATTCCGGAATGCCAGGATGAACGCTGAACTTAATTAAACTTTGCAAAACCTGGAAAGAAAAAACATCAGAACATCAAATAATGGCCGTGCTCTGCGCAAACTTGCATGTTTCATGTTGAAGCAGGGCTAGCAATCTCTGGCGAGTCCACATATCATGTCATTTATACAGAGACTTGGGGTCATGCACAATGCACAAGTCCCAGATTTATTTATTCTGAGAAAACTCCTCAACTGCATTTCCAATATGTGGAGAGTAGCTTAGTATCGGGCAGATGTCTTTAAATTTAAGATTAGTTTGGCCCCTTAACCACCTTAGGTCTGCACCTTTTGAATTGCTCCTTCACTCAAAGAGAGCACCTAGAGGACAGTCCCAATCACTGATTGTTGATTAGCTGACTAAAATTACTAAATCATATTCACACAGACTGCAAACACAAACTGAAGTTTAAGGTTAAGAAATATGTCATTGAGATGGCATAAAAGCAAACCTTCTTTCAGTGGTGCATCGTAAAGCCCCAGAATTCAACTTGGTCTCACAATATTGTTCTTTACCAGTGTCTTTTTAAATTGTTTATACACCTATACGTCATCATAATTCACCAGTATCACAATTGCGATAACTTCTAATGTTTGCCGTCATCAAGTAAATAAACTTGCTTTATTGTAACTGTCAAGCTTTCCTTCTGAATAATGATAATAAATCTATAATTAATCATTTCCCTTGTACAATATGGTATTGTACCCCTTTGTGTCAGATATTTTTCATCTTTTTAGACAATATTTAACAGAATGTTTTACTCTGTTGGACTCCTTGGTGAATTTGTCATAGTTGGGCACCCATTATTTGAAAGGCAGCATTTTCTTTAAAAAGCATTTTTGTAGAGAAAAGAAAAAGACAGCCTGCAATTTTTAGTTTTCAGGCGGGTGATTGTAATTAGCCTGGTTTATAAATATACTCCATCTCACAGCAGAGGGATCCACATTTAAGCCATATCATAAGCTTTGGGATTACTGTAGTGCCTCGCCTCCCTACATAAGACCATGCACATCACAAACCTTTGCTTTCTATAACAGTTGTTCAACCTTGACAAGTAATGAACAAGTTGACATGATTCACTTTTAGTGCTTCTATAGGCCTCTCAGGGAACTCCTTTCCCTGTTGACCTATGATAGCAAAACTGTCAAAGCCCAATCAATACCTGAACTGAACTTGAACTTAATGTGTTGCATTAATAATACAAAATAAAAAATACATTAAAATTGTTTTTTTTTTTTTTCTCTAAATAAGTTCTGTAGACACACTTTAATGTACCCGAGTGCACCCCCCCTCCCCTGCCACACACACACACGACCAACACACACACACCCACACCACACAGCCACACAGGCACACACACACACACACACACACAGTACAAGTAATACAAACAAACATACACTCAAAACAAGTTACTTAAAACATATATGAGCCAAGCCATGCTGACGTGGAGTGTCTGCAAAATCGTTAGTGTCCAATTATTCATGGTCCCTTAAAGTTAACACACCATGAAGAACAAAAGTGTAGCTTTAAAATTTTAATTTTGTTAACAAAGAAGAGATACATTTTGTGTTGTAGAACAATAATTAAAACCCCACTCAATTTACCTCAGACAAAACAAAACCTGGTATTGCATTATTGTTAAAATAAAAACCCATGCTAGACTGCTACCCCTGGATCAGATTAGTTATTTTCCTTTTTCCACTTTAAAGTTTTAAGAGTAAACCCTGAATAATTGGATACATCTAACATTTGAATTCAAGCGTGTTATGAACGAAGAGTCAAGGGTGCTTAACTGTGATTCAACAGTGTCTTTTTACAGGGTATACTTGATAAAGGATTTACCTCTCTGTTGAGCCTTTGTATTTTGATTTTGAGTTTTTATTTTAACGCTGATGCGATGGATCATACCTCACACTCCCTGGAGCCAGAAATTGTGCAAGTGCAGGAACCAGTGCCATTGCCTAGCACCTCCAATGCCTCTGGTGTGGCAGCAGGGTTGTAGCTCATGTAATACTCTTGGAGCTGGGAGCTCAGGGTCTGCTCTGGCTCTGGACTCTTTTTGCGACGCTTGCGCCCCACCATGGACCGCTGCTGCAACAACCTGGTTGCACCTGGATAGCGCCGCCACAGCACATAGATAATTGTCAAGAGCAGGGACATGCTGAAGAAGAGTGCCACACTGCCCACCACCACTTTGTGCAGAGTCATGTGCTCCATTTCTGGGGGTGGTATAAGAGTTGGTTTAGTGCGAGGAACTGAGTCTCTTGGGTCTTTGCTCATATGCCCTGGAAAGGTAGGATGAGGAATAGGTCGAGGTCTGAATGGTGGGAGAGGACCAAAGGTGTTGGTTGGTGGCATTGGTGGAGAGCCACTAGTAGGGGCATAGGTTGGTTCAGCGGTGGCTTCAGAAATGAGCTCTGACATTGGTGAGGGTGTTTCAGTCAGAACGTAATCAGTTTCCTCACAGATACCATGGTTCCTTGTGGCTTCCATAATTTTTTCTCCCTGGAGATACTTCGGGCTGCTGCATATCATAGTGGTGTCTTTACTCCCCCGGAAATTCCTCAACCAAGCCACAAGTGGGCATATGCCAGTTCCACAATCCCACATGTTCCCAGCAAGACTGATGGAGGTAAGTGAGATCCATGCTGACACTGCCTCCTGAGACACATTGGACAGTTTGTTGGATTCCAGGTTGAGGACTTGAAGGTTGGGCAAGCAGTGAAACACAGCTGGGTCCAGGGTCTGAATTTCATTTCCAGACAGATCAAGTTTCTGTAATGTATACCAAGTCCACGGAAGGCCCTGGTTGACCACCCTAATGCGGTTCCACTGTAGATAGAGTGATCTCAGGTTGGCTAAGCGTGGAAACAGAAAAAAGTTGATCCGTGAGAACTGGTTGTGTTCCAGATGCAACTCCATCAGCTTCTGCAGACCCAAAAAGGTGGTGCGTGTAAGAGCCTTGATTCGATTGTAGCCCAAATCCAGAAACTCCAAACTTCGACACTCCAGGAATGCTCGAATTGGGATGTTGGAGAGACCATTTGATCGTAGGTGTAGGTTTTGTAGTTTTCGTAAGCCATGGAATTGCCCGGGCTGCAGGATTTCCAATTTGTTGTAGGACAAGTCCAGACTGCGAAGATTGGGAATTCCATGGAATGTTGAGTTGTGCAGGGATGTGATCCTGTTGGAGCTCAGTATTAGCTCTTTAAGCCTGCGGACCCCCTGGAATGCTCGACTGTCAACAGCTGAAATCTGATTGTGGTCCAAGTATATCCAGAGAAGCTGGCTTAGATGGGCAAATTGATATGGTAGCAGGGTGTGCAGTTCATTGTAGCGCAGAGAGAGGCCTTGGCAGCCAACTGAGACATTTTCTGGGACGTCTAAGAAGCCAGCTGAATCACAATGGATGGTTTTCCCCTCACATCGGCAGCTATTGGGGCAGGTGCGCTCACCAAAGCTGAACAACAGGGGAGCCCGTAAGAGGAGGAGGAGAGGAAAGAGGAGGTGTGTCATTCGTCCATCACACAGCAATGAACCTACAAGAGAATATAAGAGAGAGACACAGAGAAGATATTTACTCACATGTTTAGATATCATTTGCATATAAGCTGAGGAAGAATCAACAATTTAACATTTTCCATCAAACAACTTTTCCAACAGATTTACCAGTGAGAAATAATTTAAAGTTCTTTTTTAAATAGTACCAAAAGAGTTGAGAAACGGACAAAAGTGATTTAAATGAAAGAATGATCTTATTGTAAAATACTGAAATTTTGAAGATAACATGACAACAGTCATGCAAATGGAAGAATGGCTGCAGCATAAGAATTGTTTTTTGGTTCTTTGAATACTGGTGCTCATCTTTAAAGCAGCTATAGAAAGAATCCCAAACTACACTTTGCAAACCATCTTTAAAGCTTTCCTTTGATCATGGGTCATGATGCTGGTTTCTCTGTTACAACCAAGAACTCCAAGAAGCATCATGAGATGAACTGTTTTCTGGATAGCACAAGCCCCCCACATTCTTCTAAAGATATGCTACCATTTGCAAGCACTCTCTGAGCCCTGTGCTGATTTAAACACATACATTTGAGCAATTTTTCACCCAAAATATCAGAAAACTTTTCTACTTTACAGTGAAATGCTTGAATGTTATGCATACAGAGTCCTTGCATAGTTGTCAGCTCTCTTCATCTCTGTTTTCTTAGAAAAGCTTTCTTCATTTTGAGAATTTCTCAGTCCGCAATCCACTGAAATATCTGTGCTCAATACAGAAGGAACCTGGGTAATAGCAGTGCTATAGTCCCAAAATCATAAAATTGCAGAAATACAAAGTTCCTTCCTCCCAAAAGATTTGAAGGATTCCATGCCACTCTCCAAAACCCCACTATTTGTTCTGTCTGTTGGTTCAATTTTTTCACTAAATGACATCATGTCACATTTAAGTACTGGTGACACCCACCTCTATGCTGAAGACAAAATCCTATATTGTACTACTCAGCCTAGAAACCTGGCCATAGAACAAATGCAGCTTGCTGCTGCTAATCTCCAAAGAGCACTTTAAAACTATAACTTGTTCAAAATGCAGCACCCAGAAACAAAAGATCAAATTTGCCTTTGTCACTCTCAATGAAACCTATATTGCGTGAGTCTATGAATGTAAATATCTTGTCATCTGGATCAATGACAACCTGCAACCCATGTGAAAGCAAGACTGACAAATTAAACATCTTGCCTTAAGGGTGTTAAAGGTTGTTTATTCAACTGTATAAAAATCCTAGGATTTGTGTCCCCTTTTGTAACATAATCTTACAATAGTAGGACGATACAACTTAGACAGTGATCCTCACTGTAAAGGAAAGGCAATCAAGGGGTTCTTTACATACAAAGAGTGGAATGTTCTTGAATGTCATCAGTCACCTGATTTAAGTACTTTTGTGAAAGCACAAATTAAAGCTGACAGTTGGCCCTTTAACATTATAGTCTTTTTTTGTTTCAAATACATCCTGAAGTACAGAGCTAACGTTAAAAGATGTGTCACTGTTCTAATACATTCTGACTGCACTATATGTCAAGGGACACATCCTTGACCCAGGGGTTTCATCTGGTCTCACTCTGAGTAATGCTCCGACTAAGGATGTTGATATCTCAGGACAACACTGCTTTCAAATGACTTTTACTTCTCCTCAGGCACGTGTCTGTTCTCATGTTCAGTTTTGCAACAGCTGCTTTGCTGTTAACAGCTTCAGATTTGACAATTAACGATGAGGAGCTAGTCTACAAAGGCATAAAGGGAGGAGGGGTGTTAATTTAGTTTGGACAGGCTGAAACGGCAGTGTTTCTGGGTAGGATGTGGGTGAAGGCTCACTGTAGGATGACAAGCAGCATTGTGGAGATGTACAAAGCAGTAGTTGGAACGGGGATCTAATTAGGTTTTTTATATTATAGGAGGTTTCAAGGTCTAGTGATTTTTAATAATAGATGCTGCCACAGGTATGGCGTTTGTAATTTGAGTGGTGGGAGAACTATTATTTGTTGAATTGATTATATAATACTAAGAGAGATAGCGTTTATTTTCTTAAGTAGGGTGTTGAAAATACATTAAAGAATAAATCAGGACTTGTGTACCTTCCAACTGTATTAATTATCTTATAATGAATTACATTGTAAGATATTACTTGCGTATATTATATTCTTTTTAGACTTTTCTTTTCAAGCATTTAAGTAATTCGTTTAGTTATTTTTTTTTTTTTTACAAATATATATTTTCATATATTTTATATTGTTTTTTTTTAAGTTCTGTTATTGCACCTATTACACACAAACAAAGAATACCTTCACCTATCTCTTCTCTTACACATGGGTTGCCAATATGAGAAAACACATATTGACAGAACAGGATAATCCTATTCCTCATGATTAAACATGGGTATCAATTCATGCATACTTAAATTTAACTTATGAACACTTGACCTGATAGCTTCTCATAGAACTGTACTTGGAAGGAGTTGACTAATTGTACAACACACACATTAGTACTACTAACACAATGCATTCCCTAGTTCCTAACTTTACTTATCACTACCCATATCCTAACCTTAATCTAATACTAACCTTAGCCAAGTCTTAAACCACTCAAACATTAAAATTGGTCCTCACAAAAATGGAAGTACAAGAGCACACACACACCCTTTCAAACATTGTGATTTGTTTGTATATGCATACAAAGTTACTGTTTGACTTTGGACAAAGTTTTATAAAACATCAGCAAGTGAATGATATGAATACAAAAACAGAAATGCTATTCATATTAGTGGTAGATGTGCAACTCAGTGTATATATAAGCTTTGAAGAGACTATGGGCAGACAGACAGACGTTATTAAAGAAAAACAGACAAAGGGAGACTATACTAATTATGGAAAATGATTTACATTGATGATGCAAATTAATATATATTTACACATCATGTGCATTGTAGTCCCTTTATATTAACATTGATGAGTCCTTAGAGCTGTAAATGAACAGTAAACAAAGTGTTGTGTAATGCATCCTGTGAATGTTCATTACAAGCCAAAATATGTAGCTTTAATATATAGCAAAGCTTCAAAACAAAAGTATTTTATGTACAGAAAATCACTTGTGATTTTGGTGTGCTAACCTGCTGTTGTAGGCTGTTAAAAAATAAAAAATAAATGCAGGGCTCATTATTATGCATCATTATACCATAACTTGGGGAGCTAGTGTCACACAGCACTGTGACAAGTTCATGCTAAACTGGGTAGCAAACATGCACTGACCCACATGATTTGCATTAATCACAAGCTACCATCACTTTGCTATACCTCGGTATAGGCAAGTTTGTTTTTGAGCCATACAATTAAGAACCAGTTCAAGAAAATGTACTTTTACTTTTGAAAATGTGTTTAACAGGCCTTGTCATTGAAATTTCCTCAATGCTGCAATGACTTTCGGGTTGGAACAGTAAGCATAATTCACAGATATATAACTTGATTTGCGGTGTAAAGTTTAGATTTGTTGTAATTGCATGGATGGAAGTTGGATGTAGCATCCATAGTTCGATAATACACTACAAGTTCCTTCCTACTGCGCAACATGAGTCAAGGGCTACTTAAAAATACTCAAAGAGCACATACCTCCACCAAAGCAGCTCCTCTAAATTTTGTAATTTTAATAAGAATTTATTCATGTGTATCTGGATCAGCATCAAAATAAACAGTGGTGGGCAGCCAGGGGATACATATAGTTTCTTTCAAGTCAGTGAATTAGTTTGGTAGTAGTTAAAATGAAATGATATGACATTTCTCAAGTACCGAAACTGTTAATTCTAAGATGTCCTACTAACAATCAAAAATTGTGTTAAATTTTAATGCTTTTCTAAAAATAACATGTAAGTTAAGAAGATAAAGAATGCAAAATATAGGAATGAGTGAAGATACACGCCGAGTGAAGATACACGCCAAGTGAAAATGCTATAAATAAGAGTCCTCCAAGCAATAAAGGCACTGCCACTTCCATCACATCTATTAGGGTATCCGTATTTAGAAGGATCTGTTGTGGACCCCTTAGGAGAACCTTACAATGATGTATTACTAAAACTACATTTGTGAAAATGTATTAAATTTTGTCAAGTGATTACATAAAGCGGTGTCATTACATAATGTGTTGTTATATGCCCCTAATAAAAACTGTGCAGGGGATTCAGACTTATTTTAGACGGTATAAAACTCTGGGCTGTACGATGTGATAAAAAGCCACAACATTTAGCCACTGGCTCGTTGACGCCTCCATATGACAGCATCTTTAATTAGCACACACTGGTTCAGCAAGGATTTCTGCGGAGACAGAAGAGTAATAAAAACCCACTGGACATGTGTATAGCGGGCTCCCATGGGAGGCTTTACAAAGCAGAATGAAGAGACTTACGATTAATGATTATCCTGTCTTTAAATGTGGTATTCTGCACAGGCCTTACTCATGTTTTCTTTTTTTCATACATCAGACGCTGCAAGAATCATGTGAATATTGTGGCAATACTGGTCGTGCTAACTTTGCACATACCACCTTTGTTGTGTAGAGATTCAGGAAAACGAGGACTCACCCTAAACAACATATACTGGGGCAAGCTTAGACACCATTTGATAACTGTGTGCATGCCAGAGAAGTAGTAGCGAACAAGTGCGTGCAAGTTTCTGAATTGCAAGAATAAAATGACACACACACCATGCACCATTTCCATCAACTAACCCTACCCCTGGAAAGATGTGGCTAGTTGCCCTGCAGGTTGACTGAAGCACTACTCCAAAATGACACATTCTTTTTACTTTTATGTAATCTCCTTTTCTAACCATATGGAGAGCTGAATGTGAGGTCCAATTGGCTTCTTTCCTGTCACTTTTACTTCCACCTCCATTATTTGTGTCTTCTCTTCCATTTGATTTAGCCTTTCGTCTGTGTACTCCGGTTTGAATAAATACAGTCAACTATCAAAAGAGG